CCCATACTTTTCTGGGCTCCTGCTCTCTCCCTGGCCCACTCACTCCACTCCAGACTCACTGGCCTCCTTGCTGCTGTTTCTCCAAAGTATTGGTACTCAAAGAGTGATCTGTAGACCACCAGTTTGTTGTTGTGACTATACAACAGAAATTAAGACTAGGCACTTAGAAATTTTTACGGCACCTTAACATCATCACGACATCCAAGAGCAGAATCGCTTTTCTAGTAATTACTCTTAAAAATTGTAGTAGAATATACATAACTTAAAATTTACCATCTTTTTATTTATTTATTTTTTGAGACAGGGTCTTGCTCTGTTGCCCAGGCTAGAGTGCAATGGTGTGATTATAGCTCACTCACTGCAATCTCAAACTCCTGGGCTCAAGTAATCCTCCTGCCTCAGTCTCTCAAGTAGCTGAAACTCCAGGTGCATACCACCATGCCCAGCTCATTTTTCTATTTTTTGTAGAGATGGGGTCTCGCTCTTTCTTGTTTAGGCTGGTCTCAAACTCCTAACCTCAAGCAATCCTTCTGCTTAGGCCTCCCAGAGTGCTAGGATTACAGGCATAAGCCACTGCATCCAGCCTCATAAACTTTAATATCTGCTTAAACCATTATATGATATGATACAGGTGCTCACTGCACTATTCTTTCAAATTTTATATAGTTTAAAATTTTTCAAAACAAAAACTTTATGAAAAACCATGATTCAAGCATTCACTTCAAAGACAGGAAAGATTCCATAGTATTTGTTTCTTATATATTTAGTATTTATCACAGTTGTTCAGTATCTCAGAAGCTAGGACAAACTCCTAAGTTTAACTGAGTTCATGTTTTTGACTTGGCCTCCCAAGCTTTCACAAAGCTTATAAGCTTTATAAAGTTTTCTAACAGTCTATCATCTCCCTCAATTTTCTTCTAGGAACCTGATGTAAATCAACCAACAGAGTAAAACTCCTTTCAAGCTGCAATCAACTCTCGGAACGGGGTCTTGGGATCTTTACTACTTTTTAAAATTGTTCGGACACAAGTAACATCATTTCAATCAGAGACAAAGCCAAGGTCCTTTCAATACCTGTAAGACAACAGGGAGCTGCCCCAAACCTCTGGGTCAGAATCTTCTACCACCTTCTTCTTCACTGACTTCTCCAGCCTCCTGCTGCTCCTGAACACACTAGCCTTACCCAGTTGTGGAGCCTTTGCCCCAGCTTAAACTCATCCCTCCTCCAAGCCAGACATCTCCATGGCTAACGCCCTCTCCTCCTCCAAGGTTTTGCTCAAATGTCACCTTCTCAGTGAGACCCACTCTGACTGCTCTATTTAGAATGGCTACCAGCTCCCCAACCCTCCCTGCATTCCTGAACTCTTTCTACTTGCTTGGGGTGAATGAATAACGATTTCCAAGTGATAAATGAACACTGAAATGTACGGAGTTATGGATTTAGAAAGTCATTCAGAGAGAAAAGACTAAGAGTGAGTAGTCAGGAACACAAAACAAGGAGCAAAGCAGCAAAGAAAGGTTCACAGGCCTGGTCAGCGCAGGGCAGGGCAGCAGGTGGGTACAGGGAAAGCAAGGACATTGCTTGGTCTGACAACTATCACCAGCCTTCACCAGATCTTCTTTTCCCTAACTGCTCTTTTTTAGGCCTTCTCTTTTAGTGTTTATAAGAATTTAGGTGACCTGGGATTAAGATAACTTGATTCTTCCCTAAGGCCACACAACTGAAAATTATAGGTATGACTTGTTAAATTATAGCAGGTTCACAGTACCACTTTTTATCTTGCTTTTAATACATTTGGTATTTGGTATGGATTCTCATTCTTTTACTTTCTTGTATTTGAGACTCTGTATACGAAAGGAAGATGCTAATAACTCCAGGACACTAGGGCTTGCTTACTAACAGTATTTTAAATAATAACCCTTTTCAGTGTAAAAAGCCCTTTTGCAATCTATTTTTTCATTTAGTCATCTTCCATACTAAAGAGGTATTAACCTCCTTAAAAATGCCTCACTGCCCTACAAGAGATTAGAAGGTCCTAAAGCAAACATGTGGAAAATGGAGTCCTTCATGCCTTATTACTTGTGAAAGAGATTCCAGCAGCCCTGCAATCAAGAGGATGGGTACAGTGTGTTCTGAGAAAAATAGAAGGCAGTAAGTCACACTGTCCCCTTTTACTCAGATTCTATTTCCTATTGCACTTCCCTTTACCAGAAGGTCAGAATAATGAAAGTTTCAAATCAGGTAAGTTAGCAGTTTTTCACAAATGAACAAAAGTTCTAAAACCTACAAGGTAGTTTATTTAAAGTGGCAAATGTAAATATTACAGTAAAGAAAAAAGACACCCCAGCCCTCACCCCCAGGATGTGAAACAGCTGCTTGTTGCACTTGGTCAAACCCAAGAGCAAGCCTAAAATCTCCACACAGTTCTTAGAAAGCTCTTCCTCAGGCCCTGGGCGGTGGCTCACGCCTATAATCCTAGCTCTCTGGGAGGCCGAGGCGGGCGGATTGTTTGAGCTCAGGAGTTCGAAACCAGCCTGAGCAAAAGCGAGACCCCGTCTCTACTAAAAATAGAAAGAAATTAATCTGGACAACTAAAAATATATAGAAAAAATTGGCCGGGCATGGTGGCGCATGCCTGTAGTCCCAGCTACTCGGGAGGCTGAGGCAGGAGGATCGCTTGAGCCCAGGAGTTTGAGGTTGCTGTGAGCTAGGCTGACTCCACGGCACTCTAGCCCGGGCAACACAGTGAGACTCTCTCTCAAAAAAAAAAAAAAAGAAAGCCCTTCCTCAAGGTGCCTGGTGTAGTCACCTTGTCTGTGCGGCCCCCCTACCCCCAGAGTCTGCTTTCAGCTCCTGAGATTCACAGAAGCTGTGCTGTCCCTGGACTATTACTTGATATCAAGCCCACCAAGTCACCCATTATGGGCTTTTGAATTGATGTGACTAGCTCTCCTCGCTGCCCACACCACTCTTATTATAGATCCAATTTCCCTCCTCCAAAATGCACTTACCCTCAATCATTACAGTACCAACTCCTTGTTAGGAAATTTGTATTTGAATAACCTTTCCAGAGATGATCTCACTGCCCTACAAGTCAGTGATCTGGAAACCCTAAACATCATATTGGAAATGGAGTCCTTTACTCTTTACTGCCTATGAAACAAATGAGCCTTCACCATTCCTGCAATGAAGAAAGCAGGTGCAAGATCATGTAGATATGGTGATCACAAAAGCCTTCTCTGAAATGAGAACTAAAGCATGAGAATGTCTCAGCATTCAAACAGCCAAAGAAGAGCATTCAAGGTGAAAAAAGCCCAGGGGCAGGAAGGGGCTTGGTGCAAGCAAAGGGTGGATAGGACACCATGAGCAAAGCAAGCACAGTGAACAAGGTGCAAGCCAGGTGAGAGGTTAGAGAGGTGAGCAGAAGGCAAGTCTCTAACCATGGTGAAAACATATGAACTGCTTTCTGTGTGCCATGGGAGCCGTTTTGTTTTGTTTTAGGAACGACACAATCTATGTTTTTAAAAGACTTCTGATTGCTCAGTGGAGAACAGATGAAGGACCCTGCAATAGTCCAGGTGAGTGATTACAGTAGCCTGGACTAGAGATGTGGTCATAGAGTAGATATATGAAAAAGGTGACTTTTTTAATGATACAAAACATGGTAATTTTCCACAAAGTGGGGTCAAATACAGCTGGCAAATGCATTTTGTTTTGCCAGAAAAGTTTCTTTTTTAAAACCCTGAGTTAGTCTGGTATCTAAAAAAATCAGGATTTCTGATTTATCTTGGAGATCAGTAGATCTGGCAAATGCTAGGCCCCTATTTCCACAGGGTGGTAACTGGCGAGAGCACAGGCTTTCTGTTTTACCGCAGTTCTCACCACACTCAGCACCCTTCCCTTATTTATAACACCTGCTGGAGTTTTCTACTCCTCTAGTCAGGTCCATTTAAGGAAGCCAGAAGCCCTTGCTCTCGTAAAAGTATCTCAATTTGAACCTCAAAATAGAGGGGCAGGTTCACCTCAACTCATCTTAACACAACATTGATCAACATTTGTCTTTCAGTTTCATGGGGACTACCATCCCGTGTCACGCACCAAAAACCCAAAGATCCACACACAGGGGCAATTACACTCTGATACGACCGAACCAGAGGGGAAAAAACGGAAGACACCGGCTGGATCACAACTGCCTGGTGCTACTGATCAGACTGGTTAATTGTGCACACCAGGGAGCAACACAAAGCTCCCAAGGACAGGGACCCATCCCTCCTCCATCAGGCCATCTTTCTTTGAGAAAGAATTCTCAAGTTGACAACTTTCCCTTCCTCCGGAAAAAGGAAACTATAATCCAAAGGACGTAGAAATATCAGTCATTGATAGCTTAAGCGGTCTCCAGGGTGTTGGTGTGTGTGCCTGCTCTCATCTCCCATCTGAATTGTCTTGGACTCTTGGCCCTCTGAAACCTTTTGCGCCTCTCCCTCTTCCACCTCATTTTCCCTCATCTTCACCCCCACCTCACTTCTACCTCTGGCGAGGATAAACAAGGTACATTTACCAAAACACCATTAACTTCCAATCCATGTTAAGCTTTGAGGAGAATATAAAAAGGCTTTGCAAAGTTTGGGAAACTAGAAAATTCACCCATGAACCCACCACTAGAGCCCAACAGGTTGCAATTTTCGGGACAAAACGTCCTCTTCAGGAGACCTGCCGTCTCCTCGGACCCCACCCTCTAGCCGTGCAACCTTCCCCCAAGGTACGTCACTTAACCTGCCCCCAGTGCCTCGTTTGCAGAACGGGGATCTCCACCACCTCAGTGGGTCTTCCCTCGTGTGGGGCCGCAAGAGAAAATACACGGTGCTTGTCATACGCTCAGCTGCCAACCAATGGCAGCTCCCGTCGGCATCCGCATCCTGCTCGGCGACGTGGGCCGGGCGGCGCTGGGCCGACCGGCGCTCGGGGAGGGTCGGGGGTCCGGCGGGCGTGGCTCACCCACCTGCAGGCGGACGTTGAGCATCATGGAAGCCACGATGTAGAGGTAGGGGAAGTTGATGCGCAGCCGCCAGGCCAGGTCGAAGAAGATGAGCAGCGTGCGAGTCAGCCCCTTGCAGAAGACCCCATAGGAGCGGGCGGCGGCCGAGCGCGAGAGCCGGACAGCCAGGCCCGACAGAGCCGCCGCCATATAGAGACCGGCGCTCCCACAGCCCGCCCGCCCGCCCGCCCTCTCCGCGACGCGTCGACCCGGGCCTCTGCCCCGGCCGCTGGCCCGCGCTTGGCGCGCTCAGGGAGCGAGGGAGGCGGCGGCTAGGCCGGCGGGCGGGCGGGGAGCGGAGTCCGCGCGTCAGACTCAGGGAAGCGCCTCCGCTAGCCACCGCCTGGTCCCAGCCCGGCCGCGCGGCCTGACGTCACAAAGCCCGTTCCGCGCCTGCGCGGCCCTCGGGCCCCACTCCCTGGCCCCGCCCCTGCCTCCTTCCCGCAGGTGAGGCGCGCATGCGTGGGCGAGGGGGCTTTGGGGAGGGGGGGTGCCGGCGCTGATGCGCTGTCTCTGTTCTCCCCCTAATGGTGAGCCTGAGAATAAAAAAAAAGGGAGGAGGTGAACAGTGGATGTGGTTGTGCGACAATGCGAGTGTACTTAATGCTGCTGAACTGTAGGTACACTTAAGAATGGTCACACGAGTTGAGCAAAGGCAATGTATGTAAACCTAAACATTTGTACCCCCGTAATATGTTGAAATAAATAACAAAATAAAATAAATTAAAATTAAAAAATAAAAAAAAGAATGGTTACAGTGGTAAATTTTGTGTTACATATATTTTACCCCAGTTAAAAAGAAAATGAAAGGAGGCTTTTGGGGGCTAACGGTAGTACATTCTCCCCACGTGAATTGCTTGTGGTCACCAGCCATTCTTGTTCAGCGTCAAGCTATATATAATTTAATCTTTTAATAGTTATAATATTAATTAAAGCCACTGATGTAAAAAGTACAAATAATTAAATAAACTTTCAAAGATTCTAGTGTTCTCGGGTTTTTGACAGTGAGTTTTCCTTTTCTTTTTGAGACAGAGGCTTGCTCTGTCGCCCCAAGTAGAGTGCAGTGGGGTCATCCTAGCTCACTTCAACCTCAAACTCCTGGGCCCAGGAGATCCTCCTTCCTCAGCCTCCGGAGTAGCTGGAACAACAGGGGCGCATCACCATACCCAGTTAAGTTTTCTATTTTTTACAAAGTCGGGGGTGTCGCTCTTGCCCAGGCTGGTCTCAGACTCCTTCCTGAGCTCAAGGGACCCTCCCTCCTCGGCCTCCCAGGGTGCTAGGATTACAAGTGTGAGCCACCGCGCCTGGCTGGCAGTAAGTTTTTACATTCCTCCTTAAACATCTAGGTTTCTTTTAAAGGTTTGCCATGAGTGAAGATAGATACCTTTCTTCAAGTTTTGGACAAAATATTTCATGTCTTATTACTTCTGCCCAACAAAGAGAAAGTCTGGAAATTTGGTACAAGTGGGAAAAAAGAGTTTCGTTAATGAAATGCAAAGCAAGTCTTAAGTCTTTTTAAAAAGTGATGGTAGAAAGCAGCTGTATAAAAATGGATTTATTTCATGTTCGAATCCTTTGCCCCCAGATAGATTTGCGGTAATAATCATTTTTAAAAACCGTTTTTGAAATTTTTTGCCCCAAAATGGATTCATGCTCAAAATCTTTTTTTAAAAATCTTTGTTTTATTCATCTTTAATCTGAAGAGGAAGATTATAAATCACACAGGACATTTCTAATATTGCCACTGTGATTATTCTTTAACATTATCATTTTTCTTTAAATGTCTACTGTATAAAAAGAATTATACTTTTTGATGCTAATACTATATTTACTATTGTGTTTCAGGGCTAAAGCAGATTAAATAGATAGGTGAGGGGTTTTAGCTTTTGGCTAGCTTTATTATTATTATTAAAATAATATTTTTCAAAGACTTCACAAACCTTTAGTTTCCTTTATTTTTGCAGCATTATATTTTGCCACATTTATCGTTGACATTAAAAAGCGCTCACTTCATTTTTTTGTAAGCTATTTTTTCCTTTCAGTACACGTTGGATGCTATCTTGAGCACAGCAGAACACATGCTGCTGAATTATCATTGTTTTTTAAGCTATCCCCTCAAAAAAAGCAGAATGAAAATGTCTTTATTCAGTATTTAGGAAAATAAAGTAAAGATTCGAAAGGTTAAAAGTCTTCAATGGAAAATTTGCCAGAAGACACAAAATTGATCTGGCAATGTGGAAAAAGGTTTGGAGCTCAGCTAAATTTATTCTCGGGCTTGTAAAGATTTTCTCTGGTGGAAATTTGTTAAGTTCTGTTTATTTGAACTATGTTAAAGACTAGATGGCTGTGGCAATGTGAGATTATATATGTATATATTACACACATACACATCCTCACATCCTCACTGGTTACTCATTTCTTTGTCTCCAAAAACTATTGAGTCAATGAAGCATTTTAACAAGCCATTCAGGCCAGGCGTGGTGGTTCACACCTGTAATCCTACCATTCTGGGAAGCCTAGGCGGGTGGATCACTGGAGGTCAGGAGTTCGAGCCTAAGCAAGAGCGAGACCTCCGTCTCTACTAAAAAAATAGAAAGAAATTAGCTGGAAAACTAAAAATATATATATAAAAGAAAATTAGCTGGGCATGGTGGCACCTGCCTATACTCCCAGCTAGTCAGGAGGCTAAAGCAGTAGGATTGCTTGAGCCCAGGAGTTTGAGGTTGCTGTGAGCTAGGCTGACGCCACAGCACTCTAGCTCAGGCAACACAGTGAGACTCTGTCTCAAAAAAAAAAGAGAGATTAAAAAAAAAAAAAAAAAGCCATTCAGTTGCCATAAACAATGGCAAACAAAATTACCACAAAGCGAAACTGGGCAAGGTAAGAAGCCTGTTAGACATAATGAGAGGTCAAAGACAGCACAAGGAAAGCTAACAAGATTTTAACTTTAATATATATCAGGGTTAACTTGTTCCAAGCTACAGCACGGGCTAATATATGAGTCTAGATTCACGACTTAACACTCAACTCAGCCCCAATTCACTGAACATCTTTGTGAAGACATTTTGCTAATTTTGAGAAACAAACATAGAAAGAATTATAGGTCAGTATGAACAATATTTTCACAGAGGTACAAAGGGTTATGAGAAGAGGGAGGAAAAAAGATGCTGAGGTGAATAGGAAAATAATTTTATTAACAATTGGTCAATAGGATTCATGGGCTTTGTCTGCAGTCTTCCCTCCTGCTAGCAGAGCTGCGTCTCAGGTAAAGGAAATATTAATATTAAAGCCTTTTTTTCTTTTCAGCATGATCTGGTGAGAAAAGCACAGAGAAGCCAGGTTCCAAATTTAGCAATTTCTCAGTGCCCTGTAACCTGGTTCTGCAAAATGAGGATAAGGACACCCATCCAACAGGGTATTTGTCAGAAGTAAATGAGATTAGAAGTGCACAGCATCCAGCACAGCCCCAGGCAAATAGAGAGCACCCAGAAAATGGTAGCTATTTTTGTGGTCAGAGCCCTTGAGTCCTTAGCCAGAATGCAAGTTTAGTGGATCCGTTAATACTCATCATAATTAATAATGTTTATGGGTCACAGGCAACCTGAAGTGGGAAAAAACTTGATTGTGCTGCTGGAGGACAGGATACATTCAAATGATCCCAAATTTTGGTCTGAAATTATTTGTATTCCTTTGCTCATGCCTATGGAGACCTGGAAACGTGGGGTGGGTTTAAACGTGTGAGTTTAGTTGCCATCTTGAGAAAATGCGAGTTTCCAGTCTTTCAGCGAAAGGCTCTTTCCAGGCACCTGACACGTGACATCATACATCACAGATCAAGGTCAATGTGAGTTGTTGACACAGAAGTGGATCATAATGTTAAGTGAAAAAAGTAAGGGGAAGGCTGGTCCGATGGTAGTGGGTTATCAGAACTTATTAACATTAGTGTCACTAAAGTTGGTATTCAACCCCCCACTGCTAAATTTGACTGGCTTAAAAAAAAAAAGGGTAAGGGGAAGAAAAGTATACACACAATGCCACTATTAATCTAAGAAATGAAGGGGTATGCAAACACAAATGTATACACCCATATACAAAAATACACATATACATACATATGTTATATATATTATACACATATGTAAATATACATGTATGTTTATATATATTTATGTTTATATATTTATATTTTGTTTATTCTTTAAATGAAAGGATAAACCATAATTTATTTTAAAGTGGTTACCTACAGCGGGAGGAAAGGAATGTGGTAAAGGATATGGAGATAAAAAGTTATATTTCTCCAGGCTGGGTGCAGTGGCTCACACCTGTTACCCTAGCACTTTGGGAAGATTGCTTAAGGCCAGGAGTTTGAGACCAGCCTGAGCAAGAGTGAGACCCTGTCTCTACAAAAAAATAGAAAAATTAGCCAGGCGTGGTGGTGGGCCTGTAGTCCCAGCTACTTGGGAGGCTGAGGCAGGAGGATTGCTCAAGCCCAGGAGTTGGAGGTTGCAGTGAGCTATGATGATGCCACTGCACCCTAGCCCAGGAGAAGACAGAGCAAGACCCTGACTCAAAAAAAAAAAAAATTATACTTCTCTGAATATACCTTGTTTTTTAGAATTTGACTTTGGAACCATATATTTTACACAACTATAAAACAAAATTAAATTAAAAAAAAATACCTAAGATACATAAAAGCTGAAAGCAAAATGAAACGAACAAAACCTGTATATCCACTTAGTGGCACAACCACACACAGAGAGGAAATATTCCAAGAAACATTAAAATTATAATTTGACTGTACAAAACAAAATCAAAAACTGCAATAAACTCCAAAACTGTATTCAGTAATCATATTGTCGATGGTGGCGTTGGTCTTGTTATTCTGAATCTGTCATGTGTTTGTATTGCAATGAGAAATTATGTTGTTGTTATTGAGAACAAGGATTTTTGGCCTGGGAGAAAGGAGTTACTGATATAAACTTGATGAGGTTAAATAAAAATGCTATAATCCTGAATTTGAATTGTAGGTATGGTATGAACTCATATGCATTTATCTGAAAAATATGTGTGTGTTTTCTAGCTCTATTCACTGAAAAGGCCTAGGAATAGTGACCAATCTAGAAGCAATGAACACCCCTAGTGCCCAGGTTGAAGTCTGTAAATACCATTTCCCACTAAAAGGCAGAGATCAGATCTGGAACAAACAATGTACAAGATGAGCCTGAAACTTCCTTTCACATCAGATAGCAAGAAAGTTCTCAAAGACTGCTAGGGATGTGTCAAAAAGACTC